CCGCAGGTGATTATATATAGTTTACTATATATAATCACCCCTATTTATAATCACATAATTTTTGAAAACCAAAAGTGATGATTATAGACAGGTCTGACTGTATAATTTAATATATAAATTTTAACTCTAATAATTTACTATATTTATAATTAATAACATTATTTAGAAAGAGGTTAAATAACTGTTACTTTATTTTTTTTTGAACAAATAAAAAAAAAGAATATATTTTATTTTTTGTATTAATAAAAAATTTCATCATGTAAACTGATCACCTAATATACAAAGTACCTTCAGATAAAGTTTGTATATATATTTTATATTTATATTTATTTTGAAAGTGATCAGTGTAAAAATTTTAGAAAAACAGTTCTCTCAAAAAATAATTAAAATTATGTGATTTTTTCTTTTTATCTAGATGAAAAAATCATTATAATAAATATTAAAGTTATATGTAATTAATATTTTGATAACTTATAAATAAATGATGATTTAAAAATACATTAATTTATAATAAATCTATCTTTTGAAGAGTACTTAAGTATTATTAAAATAATTTTAAGATACAGTTACTTTTAGAATATTGATATATAAGTAAATATATATAATATATTATTTAAAATATTTTATGAATACAGTTTCTATAATATATCAGCAATATTTAATATAGTATTTTTAAAATTTTGAAGAAGTGGTAGATTACTAATCAATATATTATGTTTAGATTTAATCTGAATTGTTTTTAAAAATATTATTTATATCTATATATTAAAAAATATTGAAATTAAAGACTATTATGAATTTAAAAAATCTATTAAAAACATAATTTTATTTTTATTATTAAGTAGTTTTAAAAAAACACTAAGTTAATATTAAAATAGGAAATTCAGAATTACAAATTCAATTTTATCTAACAATTATTAAATTCTTATTAAAATATATCAGTTCAATTAATTTAATATAAGATAATTATTACTTTATTTTTGATGAAGTCTTAGAAATATACTAAGCTAAATTCATTAAACAAAATATTATTAGAAATTTTGTAAATAAAGAAAATTTAAAACTTTAAATCAAAGCTACATAATTAGAGAAGAAACAAATAAATCTTCTACTTAATAAATTTTTAGATAATATAATATTAATAGGTATATAAAAAGTTAATAGATATTAAGAAATATTATGAGTTAATAAAATAATTAGTTAAAGTATTTAAAATGATAAATAGAATTTAATATTTACTTTTTTAAATTTATGATAAATTAATTTTAAAAGGATTTATAAAATTATTTTATTATTATAAAAATATTATAATCTATCTAGATAAGATCTTTGATAAGATATTTATATTTGAAAATAATTGATATTAAAAATAAGTGTATAAAAGATATTATTAATATAAATGTTGCAGATTAAAAAAAATCTAAAATAAAAGAAAAAATACTTATATTTTTAATGAATCATATATTAAAAGTTTACGTATTTCATTTTTAATATTTAGAATTAATCAAATAAAAGATCACTATTAAAAAAATTAAATAACTCCATCCATCAAAAAAGAGAAAGAAACTTTAAAAACTTTATTTAATAATAATGAAATACTATTTAATACAACTATTAATTCAGTTTTAATAATTTTATTAATTTATTAATTAAAGATACAGTCAGACCCCCATATAGTTACCTAATTGGTTCCCTCAAAACTGGTGATTGTATAGAGGTGTGACTGTAAAAGGGTAACCCCTATACAATCACAATTATATTAAAAAATCATGTGCAGTGACTATGTAAAAAATTTGTATCATACTCTAAGATTTAATAACGATTCCTATTACCTAGTTTTTAAAATACTTGAAAAATGCAACAATAGTTAATTTTTAGAATACTTTATTAAATGTAACAATGATGAATTTTTAGAACATTTTTATTAAATGTAAATTTAAATGCTATGTAATATTATAACAAATGCTATGTAAATTACATATTAATCAACTGCTAAAAAAATCTGTAATTGAAACTTGCTTTCGAGATTGTAGTTCAAGTTGTTTGACTATTTTAAAATATTTGTTAAAGATCTTCATATCTGCTACACAAAATTCATCCGTTTGCTGTTGCTTAAAAATGTAATTCATATTTGTAAAGACTTGAAAGCATCGCTTAGAGATACTGGCATTTGTTCTTCTTCAGAATCACTATTTTCATTACTTTCATTATGCATTTTTTCTTTAATAAGTTTTATAATATCATTTTCATCCAAAATATCTTCAGTTGGAATTCCTCTAAGTCATTAAAGAAATCATTCAATATATCTGCCAATAAAGCTACAAAAGGATCATTTATATCGAGTTCTTCAATTATTTGATTAATATCTACTTCTTCTTCTTGTTGAATTTGTACTGCATCATCCATATCTTCATCAATCAAAGAAGGAAGAATTCTGGTTTCTTTCTAACAATTCCAAATTGTTTCTTCAGTTACACAACCCCATGCTTCTGCAATATAATTTATTGCTTCTTTAATACTAATTTTCTCTTATTAATGTTTTTTCCATCTTCAAAAAGATCTAGCATATAACGACAGTATTTTCTTTTAAAATAACTCTTGAAATTTGCAATAATTCTGGCATCGAGTGGTTGAAGATGACTTGTAGTGTTTAGAGGTAAAAAAACAACCTTAATATAAGTTAGTTGCTGGGAAATATTTGATCTACCACTATGACCACCACGACTTTTTGATCTATCACTATGACTACCACGACCTATTGATCCACCACCACAATTACCACAACCTCTTAATCCACCACTATGATTATCACAACTTCTTGATCTACCACCACGACCATCGTGACCGCTTGAACTATTAGCTACAAATTCAATTTCACCATCATTATCTTTATCTTAATTGTCTTATTCAATTTCTAAATTTGATGAACTATATGAATTGAAATGTGATGGAACATTATCAATCAAAAATAAAATCTTTTTGTCTTGTATCCTAAAATAATTATCCATTTCACGAAACACCTTTTGAAAACCAAAGAATTCATCCATGCTTTTGGATTTCTACAGTAGTAAATTAGAAGGGACCCTAAATTAACCTTCGAAAGTGATCTTAGACGTTTTGTATTACTAATTACCTATGGTTTGAGTTTATCTATTCCGGTTGCATTAACGCTAAGAAGTACAGTGATTCTTAACTTATCTTTTTTTCAACCAGGAACAGGTTTAATAGAAAGAGTTTGACTAGGAGGCATTCGATAGAAAAGATCTTTTTTAGTAAGTAAATTAAATATTAGTTTTAGAAGAATAATAATATAAATAAAATATAAACTTTTTTTAAAAACTTACTGTTTCATCAATGTTGTAAATTCTATCAAGAGTATATCGACCTAAAATTAATTGTAATTTTGCTCGTTCCTCTGGAAGTGATGCTAATAGTGCACTTTCTGACTCTCCGTGCATATAATACTTATGAATGTTATTACGTTTCTTGAACTTATATAGCCAACCATTAGAAAACATATATTCATTTTCTTATATATTAAGTGTATTAGCAAAAAATCTTGCCTTTTCTTTTATTAATAAATCTGTTAAGATGATCCCATTTGCTGTTAAATTTTCTATCCATAAATTCATAGCATGATCAAGTTCTGGAAACTTGATTCCTTTATATCTGAAAATTTCTTTAGAACCTTCAATTTCTAACACAGAGGTCCACTTTTCACTTTTGGCCAATATTTTTGTTACAGTACTGCGATCAATATTTAAAGTTAGGTTTTTTTCAGTAAAATAAGCTGCAATTTCAGAATGTGTTTTATTACTATTTTTTTTTGCCCATTCACAAATTTGTTGTTTGAGGTTAATACTTATAGCTGAGTGATACTGTTTGGGTCTGTCAGACATTATAAAAAACTAATTAAACAAAGAAGACAGAAAAAACAAAGGTTATTTGAGAATTGCTTTAAAAGAGGGTTTTTGAAAAAGCTTTTTAATGATAAAGCTATAATAACAGTTTAGAGTTTGTAACATCATAGCTATTATTTGATGCAGAAAAACTACTGTCATAAAACGCACGCAAAAAATGAAAATTCAAGAAAATTGTTCTATTTTCCCAAGTGTTACAAATTATTATTCCATTTTCTAAGTTTTATTGTATTTTACCGTTATCATTTTTAAGTGTACGTTACATTTTTACGTGTTAAATTTTTACTTGTTACAATTTTCTGTGCTACATTTTATGAGATCAATTAATTAAATTTCTTTGATATAAGCCAATCGGAAATTTGTGATTATAAAGGGGTCTAATTATTAACAAAAATGATATGTACATTATAAGTGTAATGTGATAGTGACTATAGCCGATTTGTGACTGTATAGAGGTAATTTAATAATATTAAATTCTATTATATAAAAATGGATGCTTATAAAGAGGTGTGACTATATAGGAGATGACTGTATGGAGGTTTGACTGTACAAGAATTTGATTATAAGCTCTAATTTGAGTTATACAAGGTTTATCTGATTCTTTTGTGTAAGTAAATTATACAAAATTTGTGAAGCTGAAAGAAAAGATGCTAATATAACCTGTTTATTTAAATAATAAAATCCTTTTGTTTCATTTTTCTATTTTAATACATAACAGTATTCATAAATGTTATCCATTCTTTCAAATATGTGTCTACTGTTTTCTACTTTATCTTCTATGTAATCATTTATATTGTAATACTTTATCTTTAAAAATTATGCTACTAATTTTTCTTTTTTTACGATATATTTCTTATTTCTACTAATTCTTTGTTATTCTTTTTATTCAATTGTTAATATTCTTAAAAATTTTTGTTTTCTTAATCCTACATTTTCAGTTGTTTTAGATAATTCACTTTCTTCTCTTACTTATTAATTAAGAAGACTTTCCTGGCTTATCTAATATTGTTTTGCCTTTATTTTCTTTTTTTTTTAGTTTCATTTTCATATTCTGAATATTTAACTTTAATTTCTTTTAATGTTGTAAATTTTGTCATCTTATTTGTAGATAAATTTATAAATTTTAATAAATAAAAGTTTTATTTTTTTAATAAAAAAATGTAAAAAAATTTTGATAAAAATCAAATTATAAAAATTAAAACAATTTTATTTATTTTTTTTTTTTAAAAAATTTTTTAAAAAAAAGAATTCAAATATGATTTGTTATTGCATATATGCATATATGTATATAAGTTTTGTTAGTAATAAGATAAATGCTACATGTAATTTATAAATTATTTATTTTTTTTAGTATCAAGATTTTTATTTTTATTTTTAAATTTTTCAATAATAAAATAATAGAATTTTAATTTTTTCAGTTAATTTAATATTGCGATTTTTCACGTTAGAAAAAAAGAAAATAATTTTTTATTTCTTAATTATTTTGATTATTTATTATTAAAAAAATGAAATAATAAATATTAAGAAAAAAAAGATCACAGGAAAATTAGAAAAATATAAAAATTAAGTAAAAATAAAAAAAAATAATAAAATGAATTAATTTAAGTTTTATTTTTTAGTTTATTCTTTTCAGTTCGTAGTTCTTTCTGATCTATCCTTTCAGTTCATCTTTTCTGATTCATTTTTTCTGATTTAAACTATTTCAATCAGTATTTCTTATTTTCTTTGAAGTTGATTATTCATATTTAAATTATAAAAGTAAATCTGAGCAAATGTTAGATTTTGATTATCATCTCTTGGCATTAGACTACCAATCTGATAATATAATTTTTCTTGAATCCTAAATGTGTAAAACTCTTTTTTAGCATTTGCAAGTTCTTCATTAAGGTTTTATGAATACAGTCAGATCCCTATATAGTCACCTAATCGGTTTCCTCAAAACTGGTGATTGTATAGAGGTGTGACTGTAAAGGGTAACTCCTATATAATCACAATCATATTAAAAAATCATGTGCAGTGACTATGTAAAAAATCTGTACCACACTCTGGAATTTAATAACGATTCCTGTTACCTAGTTTTTAAAATACTTGAAAAATGCAACAATAGTTAATTTTTAGAATACTTTATTAAATGTAACAATAGTGAATTTTTAGAACACTTTTATTAAATGTAAATTTAAATGCTATGTAATATTATAACAAATGCTATGTAAATTACATATTAATCAACTGCTAA